CTTGCTGAGAGTTGCTGGCACTGTCAAAAGATCAGCTGGTGTCCGGGAACGAGGGCTGGAGCCCATACAGCACAGCCGAACAGAGGGCAAGAAAGGAAAGGCAGGACGGCTCGGTTCCCTTGCTAATCAAATCGCCAACAGCTGGGAAGGCCTTCGGCACTGCAGACCCGTTACTTTCTTAAGCAAAGAAAAGATCCAGCAGACCAGAATCAAATAAGGGGGAATGTCCCTGAAGTGGCCGGCCAGATCACGGGCAGAAATGCCCAGGCAAATCAGGAGGGCAACGGCCCACCAATGGGAACTCCACAGCTATGGGATGCTTTGATGGACACCGAGATGAGTAACAAGAGCCTCTTTTAGAAGTCTTTGAAGTTCTATCCTACAGGCCAACTTTAAGTGGGGATGGATTGTTAATGAAAGAACGCAGTTGCATTTCCCCAGAGCCAAAGCATGCTCTAGATTCACCGTGAGTCACTTAGGGCTGGGTCATTCTCTGCAAATCCAGTGAGGGCGACATGAATGTGTGTGTCTCTCATCATCTTTAGTCTCCCCAGAAAGGTGTTGTGCTTCGTGGACTTCAGATCAGGCGGACGACAAAGAGATTCCGGGTTTCCCCAAGCCCTCCCCGCCCCAGAAGCACCAACCACAGGAGAGATGGGGATGGCGGAAAGACTCACAGTGGGCTGCCGGTCATCCTTCAAGTGCATGTTTGCTTTGCTGGCATCTTGGATGTCGTTCAAGGAGAGGAACTGCAGAGAAGGAGGCTCTGTTAGAGTCTGCTAGCAGGCATTCCCCTTGCCGGGCAAGAGAGCCCATCCTCCCCGCTTCGCAGACAGGCAGGGTCCATCCTCTAAGGCACAGGGAAGGCTGCCAGGAAAGCTGCCTTCCGTGCATCGGCACAGGATGCCATACAAATCTATGCGTCGTAGAAAAAGGCAGGCATCTGATGAAGGCGATGCCAGCCTAGCATGCGTACGCCATTCTAAATCCACCAGTGCTTAAGCATGCTTCACATGATTTTTTCCCCGCTGCAGTCAATTAATATGGCTGCTTCTTTTAAAAAAACTGTAGAAAAAGATAGCTCACACCGTTTTATTGTATATTTTCCGCCAGTAAAATACCTTTGCTATCCTATTGAAAGCAAAAACCTAAGCTTCTGTCCCTAGTGCCGTAAGCCGCCTTGTGTCCTTTTTCTTAAGGAGACAGAGTGAAAAAATTTAAAGTAAATAATTAATAAACAAAACAGTGTAAAGAAGCATCTAAACCCGAAAAAAGCTTTTGCTAGAAGACAGTGTGGAAATCACAGAAGCAGATCCACGCAAACCACTGGCTGCCTGTCTTTGTGCACCTAGTCAGGCAGCGGTTGTGGAACTGGGCACACAACCAGGTGTGAGAAACACAACCCAACAGAGGGAGGAAAACCTTGTGCCGCCTTCTAGGATTTTGGCCTAGGAATCACATATATCCAAGTTCTAAATTTCCCTCCTGTTCTCATTTAATAGTTCTACATGGCCAAGGCCATGAAAGGCATTTCACAACTCTAGCATAAAGTGTAGAAGACAAAAACTCCTGCTTCTTCTCAATAATGAAATTTCCAAGGAAAACCAAATTCGGCTAAACCTTTCCCACTCTGCTCGCCACCAAAAGTCCTTCTTGCCTCTCTCTCTTTCTCTCTCTCTCTCTGTTTACCATAGACCTCACCTCTTCCTTTTCTGCTGCTGGTCCAGTGGCAGCATCTGTGTCGGCCCCATCCTCTCCTACAGAAGCAGGCATCTTCTCACGTCTAATGGGAGGGAGGGGAGGATAAAGACAGACCAAGGGACAGAAAGAGGCAGAGTTACACTTTTGAAAGAACTACCTGCTATTGGCGCTGTGCAAACGGATTCCTTCCAGGAGCAGTTCTGAGTCAAGAGACCCGTTCTCTACTCCAGAGCCAGCAACTGAGCTACAAAATTCGGTGGGACCCACCCCCATTACACCAGCTTAACACTGATGGTGGAATGGCTGGGGGGGCAACAGAACATAATTATATCAACCCCCTCTGTCCATCTCTCTGTCACTTTGAGAGCAGGCACTAAGAACCTTCCTGGTGGGCTTGCTTTCCTTGTACGAGGGTGTCTGGTTTTTTGAGCTTTCTATGTAAAAGATAGTGTCATCAAAGCTACCAGAATGAATTTGACCCAACTCCGGGAGGCAGTGGAAGACAGGAGGGCCTGGAGTGCTCTGATCCATGGGGTCACGAAGAGTCGGGCACGACTAAAACAACAACAACAACATGTAAAAGATTGTTCCATCATGCCATCCCTCACATAAACTCTGAAAGTGCTGGGGTCCCACAGACACTCCCACAGACCTGCTCGAAGAAAGCTGAATTTCTGGAATTATCCTTGAAACACAGCTATGGAAATTAATGGTGGAAAATATCTAGTCCAGCAAACAACCGTCAGAAAGAAGTGCCAATGGAAGCTGGTGGCAGGAGCTCCAAAGATTATGAAGAAACAAAGCAAACCAGTTGTTCCAACTCCTGATCCATCAGAATCCAAGCTTAGGACGCTTTTGATCCTGATCTTTGGAAACTTCCAGAAATGGAGCCTCTACAGCCTGCTAAATGTATTGTCAATCTACAACTCTGCTGCCAAGATGACAGAACAGTACTTCCAACAGCATGAAAACCAGAGAATAATTTACAAATAAAGAAACACCCACTAAAGAGGCTTCAACAACACACCTTTCTAGACACAAGCATTTTGACCATAATGAAGGGAGGCAGCAGGCCAGACAGAAGAAGGGAAGCGAGTTCAAGGAAGAAATTGGAAACTGCTCTGGCAAGCATGTTCTGCTACAGTCCTGCCAAAGGCTTTACTCACTTCTTATTGGAGATAAAATCAAGAGCCTGGTAGACCAACGAGTAAAGGTATTCCACCTAAGAAAATAAAAAGAACAGGATTAGATAGGCTGCGATACAGAAGGGGGCGGCAGTGACCCATGGCGATGTGTTTTATGTTAACCCGACCAAAAAGAATGAGGTTTTCAAAAGGGCCCCTGTGTTTCACCGAGACACAAAGATGCTGGTTTCTGAATGCAAGACATTGTGCTTCTATAGCCACTATTCAAAACACCACGAAATGGCCCAAGAGTGTTTGCTGCACAAAATCATGTCCGCATTGCCAGGAGGAAAAAGGAGGCCAAACTTTACATAGTAAAGGGCAGCTTGAACGTGGACAACACCCATGGCAGCTGTCAAGAGGATCTACAGGATACCCTCATGTGCTCTCTACCACTCGCATTTGTTGAAACACAGCCCCGACACTTGCTTTTGTGTTTAGAGGGAGACGTGGTGAACTGATGAAAACAAGGAGTTGGTTTCTGGGATTTTTCCTTGCCTGGTGTTGCCTTAGAAAAGTTCAACCTAATCAAGAATCACCACTCTTTTCCCTCCTTGCATTAGCTTCAGTGTCTCTCAATGTGAAAATAAAGAGAAACTGAAACACTGCTCCTTGTTCGACTGAAATGTTCGGCAGTGGTGCGACCTCTACCTCAACCAAGCAGAACTTCCCTGACAATCTTCTCCTCACCTTCTTACTGTAGATGCAGGCAGAGCCTTGGATCAGCAATGCTGCTTCAATAAAGTTCATGGTAGTTTTGCCGCCATCAAAGGAAACACAGATCTGTTCAAGCTACAGAGTACAAGAACACAAGGTTGGAAGACATAAAAAGAAGAATACATTGCATGCACTTGGATTTTACTGGAAAGCACACAGTCCATGGAGCCTATTTTGCACCTCCCTGAAAGACAGTTTTGGAGGCTTTAAAAAAAAAGTTTGGAGATTTTTGTTGCAAGATGCACTGATACAATAAAGGAAGAGTTTTGCATTCACAAGACCTTTAGGTAAAGGTTCCCCCTTTGACATTTAGCCCAGTCATGTCCAACTCTAGGACGCGGTGCTCATCCTCGTTTCCAAGCCATAGAGGCAGCATTTGTCCAAAGACAGGAGTTTCCGTGGTCATGCACCTCCCTGAAAGACAGTTTTGGAGGCTTTAAAAAAAAAGTTCGGAGATTTTTGTCGCAAGATGCACTGATACAATAAAGGAAGAAATAGTTTTGCATTCACAAGACCATTAGGTAAAGGTCCCCCTTGACATTTAGCCCAGTCGTGTCCGACTCTAGGACGTGGTGCTCATCCTCGTTTCCAAGCCATAGAGCCAGCATTTGTCGAAAGACAGTTTCCCTGGTCACGTGGCCAGCGGGACTAGACACGAAACGTTGTGACCTTCCCACCAGTGGAACCTCTTTATCGAGTCACATTTTTACATGCTTTCGAACTGCTACGTTGGCAGGAGCTGGGACAAGCGACAGGCGCTCACTCCTTCCTGTGGATTCGATCTTACGACAGCTGGTCTTCTGACCTTGCAGCTCAGAGGCTTCTGTGGTTTAACCCACAGCATCACCAGGTCCCTATTCACAAGACCTTTACAGGGTTCCTAATAACAGGACCTTTTGCCAGTCACTAACTTAATATGGTCACTGCAAGTTGGAAGATATCTGGCAACACATCACAACTCTTTCACAAACTCTGGCCAATCTTTGAGGCAATGAGCATCAGAAATTGAGAACAGTGCTTGTGTTCCAACTTCAGAAGAAAAGATGAAGGGAATGGGGAGCATGATACCCACCTGGAAAAAGAGACAACACGGCTCAGCTCTTGGACCACCTCTGACAATACTCCCAGACCTTGGAACTCCCTCCCACTGGAGGCCAGGCTGGCCACATCTTGGCTGTCCTTTCACAATCAGACAAAGACCTTTCTCTCCAGGCAAGCTATCCCTCAGTGACTGGCTCCCTGAGTGGCGTTTTTAATGGAATGTTGTGCCTTTTAAATGTGTTTTTGGTGCCACTTATGGTTTTTGCATGGTGTTGGTTTGGTCCTTTTAAGTACAGCATTTGCATGATCACTTATTATCTTTACTATTACTTTCTAATGAGGGAAGCCACATTCCTAGACTTTCTGTTTTTACCTTTAACTGTCATCTGTTAGTGATGGAAGGCACCTCGAGTCTTTCTTAAGGAGAAATCCGGGTAAGACTATTTTAAGGAACTCAGTACCTAACCGAATACATTCCAGGCTAAGACGTGACTCTCCCGGGTTCACCCAAGGCTGGCATGGCAGCCCACCTGGAAAGAAGCCCTGCTCTCCTCAGCCTGAGTGAACAGGGCAGGATCCGCCGACAGGGTCCTCCCCGTCCTCCCTCCTCACCTCCTCCAGGTACTCTCCCAGCTGCGCGGCCACGTCCACCTCCCAGTTCTTGGTGAGGTCGCGGATGGGCTGCAGGAAGTGCAGGAAGCGGGACTCCGGGTCCTCCATGGCTGGGCGGATGGACGAGAAGCCGGCCGGCCTGTCTTTCTCTCTTGCTTGGCTTTCCCGGCCCAGGGAACCGACCGGATCCGCTACTTCGGGGGAGACCCCTCAGCGCCCCTTTCCGAGGAGGCCCATCTCCCCCTCCTGGTGAAGCTGCAGGACAAGGGCGACAATGACAAGCCGGCGAGGTCCTGCCCCACTCGTTCCCGGGACCCCCACAACCCCTCCTACCATC